TCCTGTCACATCAGCACTTTTAATCTTGTACCCATTGCTCTGGCCCGGCCCAGTTTTATTGTGTTTACTGTATTGTGCCTGTTGTTTATTTTGCTTTATTCTGTTTTTAATTGTTTGATTTGCTTAGATTGTATTGTTGTGTTGTGTGTTGAGGCCTCGGCCTGTGTAAGCCGCATCGAATCCTTCGGGAGATGCTAGCGGGGTACAAATAAAGTTTAATAATAATAATAATAATAATAATAATAATAATAATAATAATACACTTTAAAAGTAGATGAAAAAAATGGGATGGCAGAGCATTGAATGGGAGTATCCTTGTCAAATGAGGACAGTTGGAAAATATGCATCTGGATAATAGTGACAGTAAAGCCAATAACTGTATAATTCAAAGCCTAAGTGTTCTCAAAGTGTTTCCAAACCATTCCCTCCTTACTTCTGATGGCTGGATCAGGAAGGCAGGCATGCCAATTTCAGTCTGTCCCACTCCAAATTCAGTCACATAAATAAACGCCTGGATGACAATATAAATTAGGTAAAACAGGCTGTGGTTTCCTTCTTTAAATTGTCTGAGTCACCCTCAATCTGACTTTAATCAGTCCTAATGACCATTTATTTCAACTACAACTGCCAGGTTTATTTATTTATTTCACTTAAAAAAAACAGTACTAACTGTAGCTACTAGCTGGAAAACTGCCCAGTCTCCTTCTCCCATTATCACCTCCTGATATAGCCAAGGATACAGTTTCAGGAATGTGCATTCCCGACAAAGCAATCACTGGATTCTCTCCCCCTTCCATTTGTTGTGAAAGCAAAATTTAAAATGCCAACAGCAGATGACTAAGATAAGAGATGTGGAAGCTATTCAAATTTATGTGTAGAACAACACAAGATTATATAGAAGAGCTCAAGATGTTTTCTATTTCCTTCATAGTAAAGTGTGACACAGTAAGAATTTGGTCAAAAAGCTCGTGGTCTTTAAACCAGTATACTCATTGCAATAAATAAGCACTTTATTTAAGTAACTTGAGCAATAAGGATGAGATACCTGCACCAATGCATCTTATAATTAAAAACTCAATCACATTAGAAGGTTTTTTTTTGTGTGTGTCAGGAGCGACTTGAGAAACTGCAAGTTGCTTCTGGTGTGAGAGAATTGACCGTATGCAAGGACGTTGCCCAGGGAACACCTAGATGTTTTCATGTTTTACCATCCTTGTGGGCTTGTTTTCTGCTGCCCTGGAGGCTAGGTCATGGAACAACGGCTTCAAGCTACAGGAAAGGAGTTTCACCTGAACATTAGGAAGAACTTCTTGGCCGTGAGAGCTGTTCAGCAGTGAAACTCTCTGCCCCGGAGTATGATGGAGACTCCTTCTTTGGAGTCTTTTAAACAGAGGGGGATGGCCATCTGTCCTGGGGATGGGGGGGGGGGTGACTTGCATGTGATTTTCCTGCTTGTTGACAGGGGATTGGACTGGATAGCCCACAAAGTCTCTTCCAACTCTATGATTCTATAATTCTAAGGCAGATTCTTATGTAACAGATTCTTATATATCATTTGGCATGCCAAATGATATATATGGATTATGTAAAACTAGATGGCATCCATTAGTCGTTGGTTGAATTGTACAATGAAGCAAATAATAAATAAATCCAAGTTTTGACCTTCTTTTAAAAATGGTGATTGGTTCCTGTATTAATAAACCATTGAAGCATTTTAACACAGTGTCATTTCAGAGCAGCATTCAGATAACAAACTTTGATAATGGAGTGATTTATGAGTCCAGAAAAACACACATGACTATTAAAGCTCCCCACACACCCACACCCACATGTGCTTTGTTTCTATGTCACTAAAACAAAGTCCAAAGTCAAATACAATTTATGGCACTATAAAACGTTTTACAACCAAAGCACAGTGAAAGCTTAAGACCCAAGCTGTTCTGTAACATGACCAAGGTTTATCTTGTTAACATTTATTTATGGGAAGGCTCGGATTGACAAGTGGTTTCATGGAGCTGCTTTTCTACTAACGGTTGGTGCCACTCTCCTCTGTACTTGAAAAGTGTCAGTCAGTCTGTCATCTGTCTGTCTCTTTTCTCAGAAATAGTTCAGACCTGACTCTCAAGTTATTGAATACACCTTTTTTTTTTTAAAAAAAAAAAAAGCAATTTCCTTAAGCACACCATCAAATCCTATCAAATGGATTTTTTAAAGCAGTATGCTTACTTCCAATTCTGGTTAAATATAGAAGGCTGGAGGAGGCCAAATAAAGGTTAATATACACAAGAGAGAGATGCTCCTAGTTAGACAAAAGGCAGACCTGGGAGTAGAGACTGAGGCAATGCTAACACAAGTTCACAATTTGGGATTACTCCCGGATCCAGGTTTAAACCTAGAGAGCCAATTTTAGCAGTTAACAGAAATACATTAGCACAGTTAAAGCTCACTACCCAGCTGTGCCTTTCATATCCTCCTAGTTTCCGGATTTCAGAAGGGAGAATCAGCATAGGGAAGCTGATGAGGAAATGCAACATACAAACTATCTACTGACCCACTAAGAAAATCCAACAAATGCTATGTTCAGCAAAGGACAAGAAGGATCCTCTCACCTCTGAAGGAGTCTACCATATACCATGCAGCTGTGGACAAGTCTACATAGGGACCACCAAACGCAGCATTGCCCAAACACGAATCAAGGAACATGAAAGGCACCGCAGACTACTTCAACCAGAGAAGTCAGCCATAGCAGAGCACATGATGAACCTCCATTTCCACCCCCTTTTCCATAATAATAATAATAATAATAATAATAATAATAATAATAATAATAATCTATTTATATACTGCCCTATCTCCCCTAGGGGGAGAAGAGCAAACCACAGACCACCTGCTGCAATGCAACCTGAGCCCCACCACATGCACAATGGAGGACCTTGCGGTAACACCAGAGGCACTCCAAGTGGCCAGCTACTGGGCAAAGGACATTTAATCAACTACCAAGCTTGCAAACTCTGTTTTGTCTGTTTGTTTAAAAATTGTTAAAAATGTAATACAATTGTCTGGTTGATACTGACACGATAAATAAATAAATCCCCTAGGGGACTCGGGGTAGTTTCCATTTAATAAAACACAAAAACATACAGAATAAACAAAACATAAGCATAAAATTATCAAAACAGAATAAAATTATCAAACAACACATACACATTAATAAACCAATCCCACCCTATTCTTTCATGCAAGATTAACTGTTTGGACCAGGATTTTGGTGTGGCCCTAGGCAAATTAAGAGGGACAGACAGAGGCTAGTGCAAAGCAAGACATGGGGGGCAGGGGAATGGGTAAGGCGTTATGCTACTCTGCTGCTGAGTACGCATGCCCAGTGTGGAACACATCTCACCATACTAAAACAGTGGATGTGGCTCTTAATGAGACATGCCGCATTATCACAGGGTGTCTGCGCCCTACACCACTGGAGAAATTACACTGCTTAGCCGGTATTGCACCACCTGACATCCGCCGGGAAGTAGCAGCCAATAGTGAAAGGACCAAGGCAGAGACATCTCCAGCTCATCCCCTGTTTGGGTATCACCCAGCACGTCAACGACTTAAATCTAGAAATAGTTTTCTAAGATCTACAGAGACACTCGCTGGAACACCTCAGCAAGCGAGAGTCCAAAAGTGGCAGGCTCAAACCCAGAACCTCAACCAATGGCTGATACCAAATGAGAGACTCCCCTGGGCACACAGAAGACTGGGCGACTTGGAAGGCACTGAACAGACTGCGCTCTGGCACCACGAGATGCAGAGCCAACCTTCAGAAATGGGCTACAAAGTAGAATCCTCGACATGCGAGTGTGGAGAAGAGCAAACCACTGACCACCTGCTGCAATGCAACCTGAACCCCGCCACATGCACAATGGAGGACCTTCTTGCAGCAACACCGGAAGCACTCCAAGTGGCCAGATACTGGTCAAAGGACATTTAACCAGCTACCAAACTCACAAGTTGTGTATTTTTCTGTTTGTTTGCTTTGTTCTGTTAGAAATGTAATATAATGGACTGGCTGCTCTGACACGACAAATAATAAATAAATATCCCTGGAGAGGTAGTAATAGTGGGGCCTGTGGCTGCTTATTTCCAGGGCCTATTGGGGAACTGTCCAGGGTAGTGGGTTGGGGTGCAAGGCCAGGTTCTAACAAATGGCCAAGGGCAGGGGCTAGTACTAGTCATTCTCAAAGGCCTGGGAAAACCACCAAGTCTTCAAGCTCTTACGAAAAGAAAAGCGGGATGGGGCCTGCCTTATTTCCCTGGGGAGGGCGTTCCAGAGACGGAAATAAGGCAGGCCCCATCTATCTCCTTGTGTGTCATTATTTTTGTAAATATGACGACAGGGAACTATTTACAAGCTGCTCTTTTTTGTCAAAGAGTAGGATATAAATTCTCTAAACAAATACATCACGAATGCATCCATAATGTCCTGTAATTTCTCACAACACACAAGGAACTCAATCTATAATCTCTTCCTCTTCATTTCAACAGAAATATGCAATGCTATATACATGCAGATTTTTTCCTTCCAATTTTCCAATGAAATAAAATTTATATTCAAAAAAGAACATGCTTGTTGTGTACTTAGCTGAACTCCACTTTCAAAAGCCTAAGTAAAGCAAGCCACACCTAGATATGCACATTTTGAGTTGTGTGTTTAATGAAATCCTACATTAAGTGTTATTACTTGTGGTTTTCTGAGAACAGCCCTAGAGAAACTGGGGAAAATACCTTAACATTAAGTAGGAAAAGAAGAATAAAAAACCTTCTTAATTGAATTTAAGAACATTTCCATCTAAGAGAGGATGGCAATGAGCATCATCTTCATCACCAACACTGCTACTGTTATTGACTTTATATCCTGCCAGCAAGGGACACATTTATAATTTGGAAGATGTATGCATTGTGCCTATTTTTAATTCATGATAGGAATGGGCTATGATATATACCTGATTTAGGAGCCTGAGTAGTGTTCTGAAGATACATGCCACTCTTGTATAAATGCAAAACTTTTTCAAGTTGAACAGCAGTTTCATCTATTCCCCAATGGAGTTCTCCTGTAACAAAGAAAGAAACCTAATGATTTACAGACAAGAAGAAACTTCGCCCACAATGAAAGAAATGCCAGCTACAGAGGCTTTAGTGGAAAGTAGTAATTACAGGGACTAATGTGAAGCAAAAAACAGAGGAAGAAGGAAAATTGGCAAAAGTTTTATTTAATTAAGACTTCTACCTTGTTTCCCACCAAGGAGCTCAAAATTTTAAACACAGTTTTTTTTTCACTTTCACAACACTGTGAAGCAAGGAAGGCTAAAAGCAGGCAAGGAACCCAACAAGATTAATTTCCAACTAGCCCAGTTTTTTCAGACTTTGGTGCTCAGAAGGTTTTGATCACATCAATGTGCAATAGTCCCTAGTCAGGCATCTCAGGGTGCATCCAGAGAGCCACTTTTCTGAGGAAACTTCCACAATAAAAAGGTGGCTGTCCAGACAACATCCGCCATAACCAGGAAAATACTGGTTTATTGTGAATTAATTTGATAGTGGGTTTATTCCATGCTTTCTTGGAACCCACTACTTCGGGTGTCTGGACTGCAGTGCAGACAGTATTCCCACAGTTTTTTGGTCAAAACTGAATACAAACCCCCTCCCCAAAAGCACCCTAAACAGAGTAAAAGAAAGAAAGAAACTCACCCAGGCTCTATGAGACGGCTGCTCAAGTTTTTTTCTTTTTTTACTCTGTTTAGGGGGCTTTTGGGGCGGGGTTGCAGTGTTCCAGTGTTCTAATGGGAAGTCCCAGTAGAACATCTGGACACCATCCCACAAAGGCGCGCACTTTTTGGGGTGAGTGTAGATGGGCTCACAAGAAGATCCACGTTTTTTAAACACAGATCCTCCTGGGATAAGGGCCTGTCTGGAACCGCCCTCACAAGTAAAAGTCCCAAATCCACCCTGAGTTCCTTCGGGGAGATAGAGTAGAATCTAAATAAAGTTTTTGTATTATTAATTAGATGGAGGACCAGGGTTTGAAAAGCACAGTACTAGACTGCACTGGTCTCTCAATGACACAATATTGAAGACCAAAACTATCCCATGGTTAGAACTCTTAATCTGAGGTCCTTTGGTTGTTTCAGAATGTTTGCCAAAAATCCCAATATTACTGTGATCTGAAAGGAGTTTCTTATGTCCAAATTGGCACAATTATTTTTGTTATATCTCTCCCATTTCAGAGATACCTTTCTTTTCAGATTATATCCCTTAGAGAAGGGATAAAAGTTTGTCATCTTACTAAGATATAAAACCAGGGCAGGTAGAAAGTTAAACTGGATTTGCTATCTGATCTCTGGGTGATTTGCAAGAGAATCACAAAGAATATTGGATTCCTATCATTTTATCAATAGCAGCAGCAAAACAATTCCCCTAGACTTTAAATTGCACTAAACACTAATGAAAAAGGTTGTACCTGTTCTGTTATGTGCCTTCAAGTCCTTTCTGACTTATGGCTACCCTAAAGAGACTCCATCACAGAGATTTCTTGGCAAGATTTGTTTAGAGTGGAATTTGTCATTACCTTTCACTGAAGCTAAAAGATTGTGACTTGTCCAAGGTCACCCAATGTGGCCAAATAGGCATTAAGATCTTGATCTCCTGAGCTTTCTTCTATGACAGATAGTATTGGACTACAATTCCTATCCTGATCACTAACTGTGCTGGCAGAGAGAGAGTGATGAGCATTATAGTCCAATGATACAAATGGAGTTACAAATCCTCATTCCTGTTTTAAGGTACTCAAGAGAGAATTATTGTACAAAACGGGGAGAGCAAAGTATTCCACTTTGTTGTCCACCAATCCCCAGACACACACACACACACACACAGAGAGAGAGAGAGAGAGAGAGAGAGAGAGTAGAATCTAAATAAGAGAGAGAGAGACAGCATATTTACACACACACACAGAGAGAGAAAAGTAGTGTCTAGGAGTTTAAAGAGAGCCCGTACATGCTCAAAAAACTCTTCTCTAACTTTTTCATGAGCTTTCTTTTTTTCCTGTTCCAAGTCCTGGTGCAGATCATGATTGATCCTCAGGACCAATACTTAGCTCCCATCTGGTATATTGGTCTGGTATATAATATCTCAGTTCTGGTTCTCTAGACAAACACCTGGTCTCAGAATCCTTTCAGTCTTCTTGCACATGTTTTCTGCTACCCATTGCTTCATGGGCAGTCTGGTTTTATTGAATGCTTCAGAGCTTGGAAAAAATATTATTTGGGATTATATCTCACATTTTTTTCTTTTTTTCCCTACCTGTAGCATTGACTATCATATCCAGCATTGGTCTCAGGGATGAAGGGGCACTGTGCGGCAGAAGATACGTAAAGAAAAATCTGCAAAAAAATTGAAACTTGTTAGGTTTATGAGAGTTTGCTAACCGCTGAAAAACATAAATGAATAGTAAAATTCCAGTAATTTACAAGCCTCTGAGCTATGCAGGAAAGAGAATCATATTCTATAATTAAATATATCTGTAACTATATTCACCCAGCTGCTTGGTACAGTTTAAACAGAGCTGCTTTGAACAAGGCCACCTTATAATTATCCACATTTTTTATTAATGTAGAGATTTGGCCCATTTACAAAGATGTCTGTCTCTGCTTGGGCAAGATTTTGAGGTTGGGGTTTTTTTAAGGGCTGTAAAATTAAAACTTCACGCTTCCAATCTGAAAAACAACCAACCAGTAAAATTAAAACTTCATGCTTCCAATCCGAAAAACAACCAACCAGGTACAAAAACCAACCAAGTCACTAATATTTTTTTAGATCTACAGAGCATATAAGGAATGGTACCCTGACAGAGAAACACTAAATTTTCCACCATGTATCAACTATGTCAACTGAGCTATTTTTTTTGAAATTCACTACCCACATTTGTATCAGAGAATACTTTTATAAGTAAAATTTAAAGTTCTCCAGAACTTTTTCTTTGTGTTGAAAGAGGGAAGGGAGCTGAGCATATTTAAAGTCTTCCGTTTGCAGATATATCAAGATGGACTGCAGAGATACCAGACAGACAAAAAGAAACGAGCTCTTAATCATTAAACATGGCTAAGACAAAGTGATTCCTGCATCCTCTGCTAAGCTACATTCACGCTGATTATAGACAAAGAGCATTTCCTTCCTCCAGAGCTAGTATGAAAATTCAGTGGAGTGGTTGAAAAGGGGTGCAATGGTCCATCCAACTTCCACCAACACACTGACTACATGGAATACCTGGTTGCTTTTCATAAGGACATCCCTTTGAGATTTCACTGCACAGTCAAGGTGCATGCTAAAAACTTTCAAAGTTCTGAAGCACATGGATGTAAAACCTGCAAAAATGCCTTTCCTCTATCTGGCAATTTAAATAATACGCAAAAATGTACTTCTTGAAGCAGACACCTGCTCAATGAACTACACCTACCAGGTGAGATGTTAAATGAAAACATCTGCACTCACTTTTTCGTTACACCAAGAGCTGCTGGCACAAAGAAATCACTGTGACTTTTGATTTGAGAAGGGATGAGAAAGGCTATCCCATGGATTTCCAGAATACATGCTGATTGGGCTTTCTGTGAGTTACAATCCAAAAAAGTTTTTAAATCCTCCCCATGGTCTGTTTTCCAATGAAGACAATAAGAAGAGTGCGCACATTCAGTGAACCCTTGGTATCCACTGGGTTTTGGTCCCAGGATGCCCCATGGATACAAAAATCCATGGATATTCAAGTCGTATTTTATACAATGATGTAGTAAAATTGTGTCCCTTATAAAAATGACAAAATCAAGCTTTTTGGAAGAGAGAGCGGAATTTTTTCAAGTCGTGGATGGTTGAGACTATGGAGACAGAGTCTGTGGATATGGAAGGCCAAATGTAATGTTCTTCATTCTTGTTCTTCTTCAGCTTTTGGAGATGGGAATAGGGCACGGAAATGGCATTGAACTAGCATTACAGGGAAGGAGTCTTAGTTAAGCAGATCCTTGATTTAAACGCTTCACATAAACAAAAGACCCTTAAAAGGTGGAAGCAGACAGCCGAATCCTTAAAATGTCAATATCTTTGAGAATAAAGAACAGAGATGGTTAAATTAACACGGGGGACCTTTAAATCCTCTGGCATGATTTATTAAGGGATATGTAACTTCAATGTCTCAATGATTTTCTCCAGCCAATAGTTTATCACTTTTTTTTCAAAGTTACATTTAACAAGGTGGATGGTTCAGACTCAATATAAACTGAAGCATGAGACATAAATATTAGGTCATAAGCAGATTGGTAGCATAAATAGGATATTTCAAGGGAAACTGCCATGTTCTATGTCTGATCTGAAAAGTAATGGAAAACATTTTCCTTACATACATGAATTGCACTGTCACATAAAAAACATTCATATAAAGAAGGTAGTTAATCACACCTGGGAAATAATATAAAAATACTTGCTGCATAGTATTAATTACATAAATGAAGTCATCAGAAGGAATTAATACAAGATTCTTTCTGGCATCAATGTAGATGTTGAAAAAGAAAGAGTGAAGCTGTACCTGAGCTCACAGAATCATAACATTATATAGTGCCTTGTAGTCTCAGTAGCCCTTTTTGTAGGCTGGATCTACACTGCCCTGTATCCCAGGATCTGATCCCAGATTATCTGCTTATCTGGCAGTGTAGACTCAGGCCCTGTCCACACAGCTCTATAAGATCCACATTGAACTATATATTACATGACAATTATATGACAATGTGGACACAGATAATCCAGTTCAAAGCAATAATAATAATAATAATAATAATAATAATAATAATAATAATAACTTTATTTTTATACCCCGCCTCCATCTCCCCTAAGGGACTCGGGGTGGCTTACAAAGGGAGAAGCCCAGAGAGCACAAAGTTAAAAACATAACACAATAAGATAGCATCGAAACAAAACCAAATAAAAACAAATCACAATAAAACATAACTTCATAAAAACAGTACCATACAGAACAATAAAAGTGCTGAGTTCAGAGGGCTCTTGGTTTGTGCAAATTCCTAGATAGAGCTAAGGGAAAGTGCAAAATTCAGAAAGGCAGGGCTGGGAGGATAATGTTCGTGGGCATTAAAATGTGAGGATTGTAGAGCGGAGGGCTATGCTAAAGTGCTGGAACTTAGGTAACATTGGGCCAATTCTTTGGAACTGCCAAGTCAAAGGCACAGCGGAACATCCAAATTTTTAGGTTCTTGCAGAAGGTGGACAGGGTAGGTGCCAGTCTGATCTCCCTAGGAAGAGAGTTCCAGAGCAGAGGGGCTACCACCAAGAAGGCCCTCTCCCTCGTTCCCACCAACCACGCGTGAGACGGAGGTGGAAGCAAGAGAAGGGCCTCTCCGTATGATCTTAGAGCTTGAGTTGGTTTGTAGGGGAAGATGTGATTGCAAAGATAGACAAGTCCTGAACCATTTAGGGCTTTGTAGGTAATCACCTGCACCTTGAATTGGGACTGAATTCATTGGCAGCCAGTGGAGCTGTCTGAACAGGGTGCTTGCTCCAGTTAGTAATCTGGAATATCTGCCTTGATATTCTGGAGGTGGATCTGGGAGTTCTCTTCAATGCAGCATCTACAGTATTTGGTACAAGTGCAGCATGCTTGACAAATGGACATCCTTTCCCTCTTTAAATAACATCAATGAAGCAAAGCCCACCACGTTACAATGGAATCTGTTCTAGTGTCTAACAGCTTCGGTTCATCAGGAAGTTTCTTCTACCCAAGTATATCTTTGAAATGTTCAGTGACCATGGCATTTACATTCTAGCTAGTTTAGTACCTGTATGCATTGTAAAGATTCCTCTTCTCATTCATATTTTGGCATTTGCCTTCAACAGTACAAGGAAGAGTAAAATTTCTTGCTGGAAATTCCATGAAACAATCTCTGCTGCTAGTGCAGGAAGTCTCCTCAGTGCTGGCATCATCCAGATCAGTGACTTTGAGCTCTCCATCCACAATCACAAACTGCCGAGGTCGGAAATCCAGCAGAGTTACAGAGCCAAGGGGAGAGTGGGCCAGGTAATGCAGAAGCTGAACTAAGCTGAAGCAGATCTGAAATAACAAAAGCCAAAATCATTACATGTAGCTTTCTCAACAAGGCAATCCAAATGGGCCTGTTTATAGTTACACTGCAGAGAAAATGACAACAGACCTTCAGCCTTCTTTGTTATGAGAAACAGACTCAACAGTGAGAGATGCCAAGTCTGTACACAAGAAGTTCTCTGCACAACCATCCCTAGTCTCTGGCATACTCAATTGGCCATTTGACATTTCAGCAATAAAATGAAGTTGCATACAAAAATCTCTTCCAAACAGATTTGGCATGTCACTCAGCAGTGTAATCCTGCAAAATACATTTCAAAGCCCACCTCTTATATTTGGTTTTGTAGATGGTGTTCACAGCCCCATGCGGACTGGTTTACTCAGAAGCAATTTCCATTGAGTTTAAGAAGAATTGGTACTACAACTGACCATTGAGCTGCATTTGGGGAACCTAAGATTCCTAGAGAGATCACTTCTTTAGGAATTTTTGGGTCTCCCAGCACAACCCTTTGGTCAATGTCTGGTGGAAACTGAAAATGGAGTCACATTAGAGGATCACTAGAGAGATGTTCTCTCAGATAGAAAATAGCTGGTTTTATTGTAGGGATCCTGTTCCTTAACCCTAGCAAATGTGAAGAGCTGATTATTTGTTTCTGTATTGCTGAAAATAAAATACATCCAACCGTTACAAGACAATTGCATAATAGTAATAATTTCTAGGACAGCTTTATGTCAAAATTATGTTAAGCTTGAGGTGCAATTAGAACAGGTATCAACAAGGACACCTTCAGGGCTGCTGCCATGGTCACAGAACATCAACCGAGCCTACTGCTGCTCTAGTACTTACCACAAACTTCTCACACCCATTGGACTGAAGCAAATATTCCTTCATTTTTTCCTACTATGTATATTTTCAACAAGCATAAAATACTGCCTCATGGAATTCTAACTTGATTACTCTTGAGTTCTACAGCCCTAACAGTTCAAGACTAGTTTATCTGAGATGCCACCTTTTCACATCACTTTTTATGCTTTGGAAGGAAGGCAGAGTTTGCCATACCACTGCACAGTGAGGTTCACTTAATGGGAGTGTGGAGAAGAACCTTCTCAGTTATAGTATTCGCCATGTGAGTTCATTTCCCTAATGAGATCAGCTGAGCTCACAATATGGGGTGTTTCTGCCATCAACAAAAAAGCTATTTTCTTGCCCAGGTATTTTCCAATATTACCATTTGCTTCTACTGATTTCCATGAATTGTTTTATAATTTTATCATCACTTCATTTTATTAATTGCTTGTGTTTTACTTTCTATTTTTTCCAACACAAAATTTAAACAATACTTACACGAAATCTATCTTCCCAAGAAGTCTGTAAAAGCTGTATCATCTCCAATGGTGAACCCAGTTCTGTGATGGCAGTCAGTGTATCTGAAATGTCGTTACTATCTTGATAACAATATCCATAGAGCTGTCAGGGCAGAAAGTGGGAAGGAGACAAGTCAAAACATTATTTGCATGCATGTTTCTCCTCCTTATTATCAGCATGTTGATCTCACCCTCCAAATACAGATTTGAAACCCAGTAGCAATGACATGATGATACAGTTTGATTAATACTCTACAAATTGAGGCTGTAGAACACATGTGTCAAATTCAAGGCCTGTGGGCCAAATCTGGCCAGCCATGTAATTTTATGTGGCCTTCCAGGTGCTGGACTATAACTCCTGTGTTCTGCATCATTAGACATGACTAGAGCTGATCAGAAGTGTGATGCAGTAACATCTGGAAGACTGCAGTTTGTTCTGTTTAGTCAGGAACATCTAGGGAACCAAACTGGAGAAAAAGAGAACTGACCACTATTTAAAAAAAATTATAGCTGCCCCTCTGTAGCCATAACTTTTCTGTCCATAGATTCAATGGACCCTTGAAAGCAACCATAAGGCTGAGGTAGCTCTTGATGAAAATGAGTTTGACACTCATGCTGTAGAAAAAGGACTGTTTCAACATCAACTTTTCTCTGCATATAGGAAACTAACACATCTGGACAGACTAGTTTATATCACCTAATCAAGTATTTTATACAGTTCCTGACTACTGATCAAGTTGGCTTGGAAGTGGAAGTCCAAGTGAGCTAGAAGACCAAAGCTTGGGAATCACAGACCTATTCTTTTTGAGGCTATTACAGGAGTGGAGCATAATCACTGTCAATACTGCATTTAGTTCAAGACTTACAATATTTACACCTGATGGGTCCTTTCTACATAATAGAGTTACTACTTAATGGTGGGGAAACACACTGATGCTAGTGAGGGATATTTCTTCAAAGCAAGTAATAGCTTTAGAAGGTAGCATTTCCTCAATATCTCAACAACGGAGGGAAGAATTAAATTCCCATCCCACACCTGCTTCAATCCCAATGATGATCAGTTCTTTCCAGCTGATGCTAAGAAAACAGAATTCTGTACATTAAATGCAAAGGCCTGTTGTACTTTATTAGTAGTTCAACCTATAGTCCATGCGAGGAAACAACAACACCAAACAGATGTGCCCAATGTCTCATTTGAACAAAATCCAACAAGATGCTTGACACTGAGCAATTGGGGGAAGTTAACAAATTTTGATAACAAGACATGACTCCTAATGTGCCTTTTAGTAATATCCATATCCAGAACTGCAGGATGCTTAATGTTTGGCCTGAATTGTATTATTAGTCTCAAATAGAGCAGATCCATATTTGTGTGTGTCAGAGGTGAACTGAGAAACTGCAAGTTGCTTCTGGTGTGAGAGAATTGGTCATCTGCAAGGATGTTGCCCAGGGGACTCTTGGATTATTAATGTTTTACCATCCTGTGGGAGGCTTCTCTCATGTCCTCGCATGAGAAGCTAGAGCTTGACAAATGGGAGCTTACTCTGCTCCCCAGATTCAAATCGCCAACCTATCGGTTTAACCCATTGCACCACTGGGGGCTCCTAACAGATCCATAAAATAGTGTTATTGACATAAACGTTGACTCACCATTTGACAATTGATTCAATGGGTTAACTGACAATGAATTCCATAGAATCTTGTTCCCTTTAAGCGCCAGGAAACTAAACTGCTGTTCATGTTGCAACCTCACCAGCAATAACACCATGCTTGCCCCATGCCGTATCTACAACCCTGATCTATAGGAACATGGAGAATAGATGGATGAAAGGACCAGGCAGAAAAGAAAAGAAAGAAGGCACAGCTTCCCTATCTGCTCCTGGCATACTGAGTTTTAAAGATATATAAATGTTTCCTGGCTTTGCATTTTGCAACTCTGCACCAAAGATCTGCTGAAGGTTGTAAAAGAAGCTTTTCTATATATATTTAAAGTCCTAGCTATATGAACTAACTGTTCATTTTCTGAAATAAATGCTTTTGCGCATCAAAAACAAACTTAAAAAAAAGTATCAGGCAAAAAAAATTAAATGCATTGGAAATCATCAGACTCTACTTTGACATCAAATATGTCATTACTGCAGTTCATTACACCTTAATTCCTAGAATTAAAAAAGTAAGAAAAGTCACCTATTCAAGGTGACCCATCTTCACTGATAAATCTGGAAAGTATAGACATCTGGATATCATTTAAAATAGCCAGCACTATATTCTAGTGGGCTTTTCCATACTGAGCTTTTCCATACTGATTTTGTTTCAAAATAATTTCACTGTAGTAATTGTTTTTCACTGCTATGAAGTCTACTTTCATTTATGGTAACTCCATGCAGTCATGCCGGCCACATGACCTTGGAGGTGTCTATGGACAACGCCGGCTCTTCGGCTTAGAAACGGAGATGAGCACCACACCGCAGTCAGACATGACTGGACTTTATGTCAGGGGACAACCTTTACCTAACTCCATGAATGAGATGCCTCCAAGTCACTCTGTGTACAACAGCCCTGCTTGCTGAGGTCTTGCAGATTCAGAGCCATGGTTTTCTTGATTGAGTGAGTCTATCTATCTCACTGACTTCCATCGAAACTCTGAATTACAAAAGAATAATAATACATAATAATAAACTGTATTTATATCCCACTGCCATCTCCCAAAAGGGACTTCTGGCAGCTTCCAAGGCACACCAAGTGCACTATATAACATAAAACGATATTTGAGTATAAAGCAGTATCATATAATAATTATAAAAACAACCACTATCAACACATAAAATAAAATAAAATAACACACTACATCTGAAAGCAATGTATTTCTACATAATTCTGTAGTGTCTGTATTCCTAGCCAAACTGTCTCTTAACAATTACATTTCTTTTGGAAATGGGTTAAGGAGAAATCTACAAATTGCAGTGAGAGAAGTGACCCTTTCAATTGTCACCCCTCCAAAAGTAAAGGTCAGCAGAACACAAAAACGGACGTTTCCAAACACAAAATAAAAGCACCTTATTAAGCTGTCATCAATGGGTAAGGATATGTTGTTGTTGTTCATTCGTTCAGTCGTCTCCGACTCTTCGTGACCTCATGGACCAGCCCACGCCAGAGCTCCCTGTCGGCCGTTACCACCCCCAGCTCCCTCAAGGTCAGTCCAGTCACTTCAAGGATGCCATCCATCCATCTTGCCCTTGGTCGGCCCCTCTTCCTTTTGCCTTCCACTTTCCCCAGCATAAGTGTCTTCTCTAGGCTTTCCTGTCTCCTCATGATGTGGCCAAAGTACTTCAACTTTGTCTCTAGTATCTTTCCCTCCAGTGAGCAGTCGGGCTTTATTTCCTGGAGGATGGACTGGTTGGATCTTCTCGCAGTCCAAGGCACTCTCAGAACTTTCCTCCAACACCACAATTCAAAAGCATCTATCTTCCTTCGTTCAGCCTTCCCTAAGGCTCACATCCGTAGGTTACTATAGGGAATACCATGGCTTTGACTAGGCGGATCTTTGTTGCCAGTCTGATGTCTCTACTCTTTACTATTTTATCAAGACTGGACATTGCTCTCCTCCCAAGAAGTAAGCGTCTTCTGATTTCCCGGCCACAGTCTGCATCTGCAGTAATCTTTGCACCTAGAAATACAAAGTCTGTCACGGCTCCACATTTTCTCCCTCTATTTCCCAGTTGTCAATCATTCTTGTTGCCATAATCTTGGTTTTTTTGACGTTTAGCTGCTTTTGCGCTTTCTTCTTTCACCTTGATTAGAAGGCTCTTCAGCTCCTCCTCGATTTCGGCCATCAGAGTGGTGTCATCTGCATATCTGAGGTTGTTAATGTTTCTTCCAGCAATTTTCACCCCAGCTTTGCATTCATCAAGCCCCGCACATCGCATGATGTGTTCTGCATACAAGTTAAAAAGGTTGGGTGAGAGGATGCAGCCTTGCCGTATGCCTTTCTCAATCTTGAACCAGTCTGTTGTTCCGTGGTCAGTTCTGACTGTTGCTACTTGGTCCTTGTACAGATTCCTCAGGAGAGAGACAAGGTGGCTTGGGATGCCCATCCCACCAAGAACTTGCCACAATTTATTATGATCCACACAGTCAAAGGCTTTAGAATAGTCAATGAAGCAGAAGTAGATGTTTTTCTGAAACTCCCTGCCTTTCTCCATTATCCGGCAGATATTGGCAATTTGGTCTCTCGTTCCTCTGCCTTTTCTAAACCCAGCTTGTACATCTGGCAACTCTCGCTCCATGTATTGCTGGAGTCTTCCTTGCAGGATCTTGAGCATTACCTTACTGGCATGAGAAATAAGTGCCACTGTACGGAAGTTTGAGCAGTCTTTCGCATTTCCCTTTTTTGGTATGGGGATATAAGTTGATTTTTTCCAGTCTGATGGCCATTCTTGTGTTTTCCATATTTGCTGGCATATGGCATGCATCACCTTGACAGCATCATCTTTTAAGATTTTAACAGTTCAGCTGGGATCCCGTCGTCTCCTGCTGCCTTGTTGTTAGCAATGCTTCTTAAGGCCCATTCAACCTCACTCCTCAGGATGTAAGGATATACAAACAAAAAAACCCTTTGGGCTTAGTGAGATTTCCAAAGCTGGATTTGTAGGAAAGTGCCTGCTGAGATAAGACCTTAGCAAAATGTTACTTTTCAGTGCTTCAAAAGGAAGTGGGGAAGGTGAGAAAATGAAATGATCCCGAAAAAGTCAATGAGCCATTTTCTGCTCAAAATGATAGTGCCAGTATCTGATAATGAGGCTGGAAACAAGGATGATGGTGATGAAGATGTGATGGAGTTTGAAGTAGGGCAACATGGAGGGTCTACCTTAACAGACTCTGTCCATTCTCCCTTGATGTCACTTATGACTGTATTTTCCTCTAAAAAATGTCACCTTCATTTCTTTTTCTAAATCACACCTCAATACTGATTACTTCCAAGAACTCTTGGGCTTAACTCTTTAGTTTTCTTCTAAAACTGAAGAAAAAGGCTGGGGGAAAATCCAGACAGAGAAAGTGATTTAAAACATCCTTTTTGATCACTTTCTTTCATCTTCTGCCAAA